ATGTTCTACTCATTAAATTACATTTAATATTACTGACATTGTTTAAGTAATATTATGAAAAGAGTCTTAGCTTTATATACTGAAGTTAGTTTACACAACGTATTTGATTAATTGTAATTTAGGAAAATGTAATTAGCAAATGTCTGTATTTCCGTAAGAATATGATTCAACAAATGTTATTTATTGACTTTATTCATTCTATTTGATAATATAAAGTTTTATTTTAAAAAACGTAGTACTTTTGATTGTATAAAAGTCTGCAATATTTATATTGAATCATCAAAAATAAAATTCTAAACTATGATAATTTGGAGGTCGTGAGATGCGGTCTGGTGTGACGTAGGTTTTATAAAAACATTTTCTTTATCGTGCCAACGTTTCGATCTTTATTGAGATCATCTTCAGGGCTCAAAGTGTTTGTTTTCCGTGTAGATGTGTCATAATTGTCTGTCGTGTTGAGAGTGCCAAACAAACAGTAGCAATCAGCAAAAAAGAGTACAAGGAAAAAATTAACAAAATTATCAACGACACAAACACATACAGCACAATCAAATCAGACGCTACCCCTTCTCTCATCAAATAGACAAACAAAATCCTTCAAGAAACACTTAAACAAAAAGAAATTGACATATACATCTACAAATCACTTAAAAAAATTCTCCAACGCCCCCGAAACTATATGGATCTATAAAAACACATAAACCTGAACACACTCTAAAACCAACAAAATGACAAAATACCTAACCAACATATTCGACTACATCACAGATAACGTCAAAGATTCATTTCATTTCATTGACAAAATTAATAATATTCACATCCCCTCACACCACTCTCTCATATCCCTAGAAGTTTCATCATCGTTCACTAACATTCCAATAGACATAACACTGAACATTGTTAAAGATAAATGGCCCAACATAACACCATACACAAGTCTATCAAAAAAATTCGTTCATAACAATGGTTCGACACTGCTGTATTAAGATATTTTACATATAACAATCAATTGTACAAACAACTATTTGGCATAGCCACGGGTAGGAACCTAGGCCCGATGCTTGCAGACATAATTATGAAACATCTATTAAACAATTATACCACAACTTCCTTTCACATTACCCTTCTTCAATAAATACATAGACGATATATTGACAGCAGTTCCCATAGATCAAATTCAAACTACATTAGATACATTTAATAGCTTCCATCCACGCCTACAATTTACACATTAAATAGAAAACAACAACAACAATACCATTTTTAGATACACTCGTAATAAAACAACCTGATGGCACATTAATCACAGATTGGTATCAAAAACCAAGAAACACAGATCGCTACCTCAACATTACATCACACCATCTTCTTCATACAATAATAAACACGCCAAAGGGCTACTTCAGAGAATTATTACTCTAGGCCGTGAATCATTTCACCACAAGAGCATAATAATATACAAACATATCCTACAAGATGATCACTACCCTAAACACATAATCAACAGAATAATCAACAACTACAACTAACACGAACACCATACACTATTACTAATAATACTACATCAAATCTATCAAATACAGACAAACCAACCTTTCCATGCCATTCATTCACGACCTATCACATAAATTAAACACGTCTCTCTCTTCTCATAACTTTAAAATGGCTTTCAAAATCTATAAAACAATTCACACACTTTTTTCCAAAATTAAAGATCTCACACCAGTAACAAATAAATCTGACGTAATTTATAAAATCATTTGTTTAAAATGTACGGCAACTTACATCGGTATAAAAAATTACACGGAAAACAAACACTTTGAGCCCTGAAGATGATCTCAATAAAGATCGAAACGTTGGCACGATAAAGAAATTGTTTTTTCGACGACCTACGTCACTCCAGACCGCATCTCACGACCTCCAAATAATCATCATGTAATGGTCACAAAACACCTCACATTCTAAACTATAACATTTTCAATAAGTTAGGTTCAACTTGTCCAGCGATGCTTCTTTAAACGTTTTAAGTATGATAGATGCTTTTAGCGAAGAAATAATACGATCTAGTTTATAAAGGGGAAAACTTGTCAAATATCTTTCAGTATATTTTTCGATCACAATATTTATTTTATAAACCAAATATATTTATTTGATGGAGACTTTCAGACAAAAACTAACATCCCGACTAAAAAACAACCAGAGTTATGATAAAATAGGTGGGATAACATTGGTATTGAACAATGAAAGTTGAAAGATAAAATAACCTTTTATGAAAACAGTCAAACATCTAGGTAAGTTTCGTCAAATCTTTTATAAAAAATCTAGATCAAACCAGAACAAATCGTATACACTTATATTTTAAATCTAAATGGAATGCATATTTTCCCGTTTTAATCCCTAATTCGTATCGAATTTTTAGATCAATAGAGGTTTTCCATTGGTATAGAATTTCAGCCTATGGTCCATCATAGCGACACGTTTTGAAGCAAGGCAAACATAGCATATCATGCAAAACATTATCGCTCCAACCGACATCGTTTCAGATGGTTTAAATTAGGACAATATTCCTGTTTTTACCACGTTCTGGCTAATAAACAGTGACGTTTCACACCCTATGCTTTTCCTTTAGCCTTATTACCGAACATAGTTTTCTTCAAATTTCTTTAAGCAGCAAACGAGCATTACAAGACAGGGAGTTCCTCTTTTAGACAATATCTAAAAATTGATTATGAACTCCTTGTCATACAAATTGAATTTTCATCTTCAATAAAATACAAGATTGAAATATTAAAGAGCTATCATAAAATATTGTTAGTTACTTTTTTTCTTATAAAAATGAACGGGTTTGAAATTCGGAACAAATTGAGAAGTGTAAACAAGTCAGACAGACGCAAACCAGGGAGCATAGACAGACCAGAATGAAAAGTGACGACCAAATTACAGGTTCATCATTTTTAATTTTGAATATCTGTATAATAAACCTAATTCAGCCATTTTATAATAAACATTAATATGTCTAACTGGCTGTGTATAATGACGATCACATATCGGACCCTAGCTTGGTGGTCAAATCTCTAGAAAAGAAGACAAGAACGTCAGCAATGGTGTGGCACTAGGATGGTCACCGATGCAAACATCGATCCAGGGAACGTCATTTGAATGTGCAAACAGGCTTTTAGGAAAAAAAGAAACAAACCTAACATAAAGCCACCATAAATGTTTACAATAGTGTGTGACAAAATAAAAACTTTGGCTGACTCTTGTTTACGATTGTGTCTGACAAAATAAATACTGACCTTTCCAAATAAAATAGAAATAAAAATGTAAAAATAAAAGATGTTTGGAAAAATAAAAACACCGAGGTTGTTTTAGGGTATCATTATGGTTTCTAGATGGATCCAAAATAGAACAGAAAGGAAGAAGGTCTACGTATAACCTAGGGAAACCTCTAGGCCTAACATCATCAATTTTCCAGTCTGAGATCCATGTAATGGAACTCAGTACTAATTTTATTCTCAAAAAAGGACTGAAATGTTCACAGATTTTAGTTCGAAAATCTCAAGCAGCCAAACAGCGCTGAAGGCCTAAGTCTCTTTGATCACTCCAATCGGAATGCCTGACCGTAACTCCTGAAAAACAGGTAACTTTGGCAGGCCCTTCAAATAACAATATAAACAAGAGATCGAAAAATAAATACCACGAGGTAGGGCTATAAGGGCTATACTATGGTACACAGATGAATCCAAAATGGAACATGGACTTTCGGCTAGAGTTAAAGATTCATGTTTTAACCTAGCGGAATTTCTAGGCTCCAGACTGAGATCTATGGAATAGAATCTGCACTCTTGTGAACGAGAACTGATAGCCAAGCACTAAGCAGCAGTGAAGGCCAGACACCACCTTCGATTCAAGCTGGTTTTGTAAAACGCTTAACATTTCTAACGGCTTCTGGGAAAAACAACAACCCGGTAACCCTGATAGAGGTACACGAGTGAAAAGACAACGAACATGCTGGAAAACAAGCAAAAGCACGTACAGAGCTTCCCGCCCGCTGGCAACCCCAGCCTGCTTAAATCGGAACGAAACAAATAGATGGAGAAATAAATAATAATTTCAAATATTTTTCTTAGTGATTTTGTATTTTGTTTCGTTAGGATTAAAATAAAAACACAAATGTAAATAATCGAATTGTAATTGTTCTTTCTATTGGTAGAGTTAGATTTACAGTACGATTAACATTTCATGAAATACCAAAGATTTTATGGAATAAAGTTGTAAAAAGTGGAAGTAAACTGAATGAAAATGTCTCGGATACAGATGAAATTCAGTTATTGTACAATACGACGTTTTAGCCCAATTTGGCATGTAGTATATCCTCCTGAAGTATTGATGTCTTTCATGGGAAACCCAGATTATATCTTATTTTCACGTTACTTAACTTTTCATCCCAAAATCAACAATTAAACAATATTTCTGGAAGTATTGTCAGTAAAATATTTCCTTTTTTAGTGATTTACTTTTAAACCTTCTTTTATAATTATAAAATTGAAATAAATTATTTAAAAAATTGTATTTGTTCATTTGTAGTAAAAACCCAACTTTTGGATGGATTTAATATAATAATTATGCATTAACTTTTGATTATAGACGGGAAAAGTAATGTTGTCGATGATGTTTTCATCGCGATCCATCTGGATAAGCTGGATTTAATGGAATGGGATTTTTCCCCATTTATTACCGAACGTTCCGAAGAGAATATCCGTCATTCTCGAAAAACTGATTAACCGTCGACAAATCCTTTTGTACAGGATGATCCCTGGATTAGTACGTACGCTCTTTTATCTAAAACATTATCGATCCGAGTGACGACCAATGGTAGCAAGTGTGACTAAGGGTCACGACGTGGGGGAGAGTCGTACTTAAAGCGAGGACGCGAAGAGGGGAGCCCAGCTCCTCCATATGTCAAAAACGCGTAAACCAGGACGAAAACTCTTTTGTGTCGGAAGACCACGTGAGTTGTACAGTGCTGTGATTTGTGATTCGAAGGGTCTAACACCAGTGACTTTCCCAAGTGGTTCTCAGGTTAGATCGACATTCAGGTTCTTTTCCCTCCTCCTGAGATAACTTGTTTTTAGTCCTTTTTGAAAAATAACAACCTTATTCAACGAATCATCCCTTTTTTATTTGTTTTGTATAAGGGGAAAACAGTATGTTTCAAAAGTTTTTTCTTTTCTTTTAATCAAGTAAAATGGAGACAAATGGGCCGAGACAGCGTTAATGGGACCGAATTGCCAAGTCAGAGATTACAACCGAGAAGTCGTCCTCTAGCCTTTAAAAGTTTTTCTTTTTTTCCCGGAATAATTTGATATTAACGATGATGCTCGACTCGCAAAACAACGACTCCCCCGCTTTAAAGTCTACCGGCTGCAATTTGTCCGAAGGGAAAAAGTTTGGAAATGTCAGTTTTCAGATTGTCCTATTGTTAGTCATGCGACCGTTTCAAATCATTTTCTTTTATCCGGAACAGCATATTGTTTAACTGGTTTGGTAATTAATAACACGTGAAGTATATTATTGTTGTCAGTTTTATGAGTATGACTTCAAATTCCAGACCAACACCAGAACTGATTTTAACTAATGAATTTATTATCTCCGATAGCTTAAACTAAATTTTGAAACAGATTGAACTCATCCTACGACGTTTGTTAACTATAACAAATAACTGTTTAATTAACAGAAAGTTTAACATTTTAACCCTGGTTTTAAATGGACATAGTGTTTAATTAAGCTTAAATTATAATTGCTCGGGCTAAACCTAAATGTTACGTTGACATTTAAACTAGGTAAGGTCTCACCTCAGACATTTATATTTTTATTTTATACATTACATTATAAGAAAATAGAAGCACGCATCGAGGTTGATTTGAGGTAAAGAAAGAGTAAAATGTTCATACAACTTTCCGTCATGTTTATTTATTTTCTAACCCTTTTGAATATTTTCTTTCGGCCATTCCCAAAACCGAGTTTAAAAAAGATAAACATTAAAATTTTCTTTAAATCTCTTTTGGCAGAACAGGATTTTCCGAAAAATCAATAAACCTAAGTAACGTCAATTAAGTCTACAAGTCCCCGAGGGTAAATTGTTCATTCATTATGACAGCAAGGATTTAAAGCCTTTTAGAAACCCCTTAATCTCAAGTATATCAATTAAGTCCGCGATACCCCACGTTTATTACCCGTTATGGAAAATAAATCTGTACCGAAGAGACACAAGCAAAATAAAAATAATCAGCCCGGATGAATTAATTAAAACTCGCCAACGCTTTTATAAATCGTTTGACGCCTCCGGACAACATTCCAGAGTCAACGACATACAAACCCATAAAGTTACGTTACGGTATTTATTAATTCATTCAACTAACGGTTATTCGACTATGCCATGTTTAAATTAATAATTAAACCAATCATTCTTCACGTATCATGTTTACACAAAAAATTGGTCAGAAATTATTAATCCTTTACATCTTAAAAAGAAAAACGTTTTTACTATGTATTATCAAATCACTTCTCCACAAGAATATTCTTTTGATCCTGTCAGTTAAATTCGATGTTTGAAGGAGCCTTTTTAGTATTTCCCCTGTCTTTGCCCTGCAGAGAGTGCCCCTAGGCGCTTTTATAAAATACCGTTTATAAAAGCCTTTAAGCACTTATTTTTTAAGCATTACGCCTTGTCACTGTCAATAATCTTCGTTTTGTTTTTATATTGTAAAAATTCCTTTTAGAATCGGGATTTTTACAATAACTTGAAACATAATTAAAAGTGCTACGTTATTAAAATAATATAAAATAGTTCAATATTTGTATAACATTTGTATTTCTTTTTTAATCAATAATTGAGAACTATTTATAGGACCATGTTACCTATTCACAGAAAGAAAATCTTGTTAATGAAATAAATATGTAAGTGGTACAGTTGGGATTTGGTATATGTAGTATCGTTCACTTTTAGCAACGCATCTTCGTGATGTTAACCCCGTCCGTTGTTGCAACGGAATTGTAAAATGAGGAGATGAGTCTATAAAGAAATTCCTTTCACATAAGCCCGTCGGTGATGGCAAAAGCTGCGAACTTGACCCCAGGGGACTTGGTCTTGACTTTCTATGCCCGTGGGTGAAGCTCAGCAAAGAAGGGTGAGGGTAATGTATCTAAATATCAAACATGCACGGCCTAATTCTTCACACACACAAACTTAGCATATAGAAAAACATTAAAAATGCAAATTGTAATGACCCCTTGTCTTAATTTTCACGTAGGCTTTTTATGTATTTAAGGTGGTACATGGTTTTCCCAGATTAAAAATTAGTGCCATGAAATTTCGGGCTATAGTTTTGGTGTTTCTTACCTTGATGGATTTGCAACTCGCCATGCTTACTCAGTTTGAAGACTTTTATCTTTTTTATTATCTATATTATGCACCATTTATCAACTGTCAGTCATCAACTCTGTATTGCAATAAGAATCGATTTTTACAATTTTCATGGCGTAAATCAACCGTCAACGGGAAAAAATTCAGTCTCAAAGTTTTTTTTTCATTTTTTTCACATTTCTCTTAAACTCGTCATCATAACGATATGATTCTGTTTCTATTTGGTAGAGAAATAATAAGCAAACAATCATACATAAAAAGTATAAAAAAAGAGAATGAGCTGACAAATGCATTTCTTTAATGTGTAAATTTTGAGACAATGTTACCGAAAAATTGAAACTTTTTGGCCTGTTTTTGGCTAGAGAATAGCTGAAGTGCAGTACACTTTTAAACTTTTAATGCTTAAACACAATGTACAGACTGTCCTGAATGAAAATTAAATGGGTATAAAATTAAAAATTTGATTGGAGTAGCCAAAATTCATCAGTTGAGCGATCGCTACTCTTCATAAAAAAATTTCAATTCAATCCTGAAATTCCTGAACCTTATATAACTTCTCCTTTAACAGTGAACTATTTTTCAAACATAATTAGCTAATGTTATAAAAATAGGACATTTGGATTTGATAGGTTATATATCTTTTAAGACCATGTAAACCTTTTTTTTTCTTTTTTTTCGTTTTAGGTTGGTACCAAACATTATCGATTCATTATTTTTAAAAACCACTATTTATCAGAAGAAAAACCAAACCAATAAAGATTGGTTATAATAGATCAAATAGGTTTTGCGAAAATTGAAACGAATAATGCTTTGACCGCTCTTGGAACAACTAAATGACTTTGAAAATACTCAAATGCTGTACAGTTTTAGATTGGGATGCTACAACAAAATTTACAAATCTTCCTGAAAAATAAATGTTTATCAAATTTAAAATCTATGGATTAGAAGTGGAGCAAAAATAGCTGTTCGTTCGAAGAACGGTCGCTAGCCCCTTAATGAAATTTCAATTAATCCCGAAATTGTACAGGTCACCTCATACAACTTCATTCCTTTTAAAAGACACTATTTTTGAGAACAATGAGCTAGATTTTATGAAAATAATACATTTCTTAAATTTTGTAATACTTTTTGTTGTATATGTAAATTGATTTTAACGAACCAAATAGATTTTCAGAAAATCGAACCGAAAAATAGTTTTGATACCTGGTTGAATAACTAAATGGCCTTTAAAAAATGCTGAAATGCAGTACTATTTTAAATTTTGATGCTTCAGTATAATGGACCTAATATAAATAAATATTTAGTAAATTTAAAATCAATTGAGGCGTGGGGTTTAAAAAAACTAAGCATTCATCCGAAAAACAGCCAATGAAATTTTAATTCACTCCTGAAATATGCAGTCACCTCTCACAACTCTGGCTTCTAAAAATGCACTATTTTTCAAGAAAAATCAGCTAGGTTTGATAAAAATAAGAGACAAAAGACGAATACATGATGAAAATGATTATTTGTAATTAAATAGTAAATTATTTGATCCTCATTAGGCAGAATAATTTTTGATCATATACGTTGTTGAAACTTCAGTTCTAATCATTGCTTAAGTTATGTCAACTAGTCAAGGAGATCATTTTAATTTAAACTGACGTTCTACTGTACGTTTTGCCTGAATGTGTGTCTTCCTTTTTAAATTGATAGTATTTTTAAAGTTGAATCATATTCAACTAACTTCCTGTTGATGTTTCTAGAGTAGATGTTGTATAGTGTCAGTAGTTTAGTCGGAGCGAATCAACTCAGCGTATTATCCTTTTAGTCAGAAATAAGACCACTTTCACTTTTCATCAAGCATTAAATTATTATTAAATTATCACTTTATATTGGCGTTTTTTGCTTTCGACGATTGTTAGTCAAACATTAATTATACCTTTCCGAACAGAAGCTGTAGTATTACGAAATTGTGCAAATTAGGCATGTAAAGATAAAAAAATGGCAAAGAGGCCGTTTTAAATAATTGAAGTCGTGCAAGCCATCACGTCGGGAAGAGTTTTCGAGAGGACGTTCATCGATTCTGGGGTTAAAGGAGTTCACCCGATTCGAGGATTGGGAGGCAAAGGTAGGCTCCAAATTCAAGCATACAGGCACTTTTCCGCTCAGGAATAACGGTATAATTTACGGTAGCGAGGGAGGGAAATGCTCTTAACGAGCTTGGCGTGGTAACGATGTCAGCCGAGTATTATCAACCGTGAGAAGGGGATTCTCCGTTGAGGTAATGACTTTAAAGAAAGGGCTTTGTAAGAACTTCAAGCCGATCCTGACAAAAGGCTGGGAAACTGCGTTTTCAAATCCCGCTAATTACATTATTAATGACCAACTAATGATGGAATGATAATGGCTTAAGAAGGTTCCAATATGACAGTCACGACTTGTATGCTGTACCAATAATTGATACTTTAAACACAGAAACCTCGTTTTCAGTGCCTTCTCATGGACTGAAACTTCTTTTGTTTTTTAATTGTGTATTCAGAAAGACATGATTTAACAAAATCCTTGATTTTCCTCGCCATCTTTCTCTATCTCTCCCTCGCACTCTTTCTATCTATTTATCTATTTATATATCTGACTATCGGTTTATCTATTAATGAACTTCTCCCACGCCCTC